AATCGGTCGTGCTCGAATTTTTATCATAGCTTTATGATCAAAAATGATGTAATGCTTGTTCAAGAAAAAAATTTTAAAAGCAGATCTTCAGAAGCCGTCGAACCTGCAGACAACTTTTGTCTTACTATGCTCGATCAGGCTGAAATTTTTTTTGGAGGTACCTGACGCAAAGTCTCAGAGGAATTTTTAAGCTTTCTAAAAAATATCAATCTCTCGATTTTTAATGTAAAAAAAAATATGCTAAGTACCAACTCAAAAATGTAAGACCGAAGTTGTAAGTAAGTTCAATGGGTCCTGAAGATCTACTTTTAAAAAATTTTTTTTTTCGAACAAGGATTTCATCATTTTCAATAATATGGCTGTAGTTAAAATTTGAGTCCGACTGCTTCTCCTCTTGTCGAGAACCAAAAATGCTTAAAAAGTGGAAGGTGGAATGCATCCTTATGATCCCTTTAAAAAAAAATAGTCAATTTTCATCAGAAAAATCGAAATTGAGATGATAGTTCGAGATCTGACCTTTCATAAACGACATGATTTTTTTTATTTAGCATCTCCTTCTTTGCCAAATTTTTGATCATTTCTGTCATCATCTGCTTGAAAAATATACTGTTTTGTCAAAAAAACTAGAAAATAATTCAATAAAGAACAACGAGACGAACAATAGAGAAATCTATCAAACTGAGCAATTCCAAGTTCTCTTCCTGTTGCGAGAAATCTCAATTGAAGTCAATAATACTTTTATTTATAGTGATTAATAATCTGTTTATCAAGATATTGTAATGAAAAATAAAAATTTCGATTAGACTTTAAGGTTGTTAGAATTCTGAGAATTTATTAAATGGTAGAAAATAGCTTAGGAAATGCTCTTGATAAATAATTTAGCTTTGATTTTATATAAATACACCTTTTGGCTTTATTACAGCTTCTAACACTTCGATGTCATTTTTTTCTCATTAAGAATCTCTTATTTATCCATTTTGTTACTTATTCAACTATCCGTATGATTATCAACATAGTGTCATATATACGTATATGAGAAGGTCAAAATTATACATTACATTCGTAATACATTGTTTTTTTTCTTGAGCAGCGAATTTCTCCTGTTTGTCAATGCTAGGTACATACTTTTCTGAATTATTTAAACTATATTTAGTTATGAGCACTTGAAACTGCCGTACATTAAGTTTATGTTGTTTAAACATAGCGAAAAATCAGTAATATGCGTTTTCCTTAATGCAATGGACTGTATGTATAGCGTCAAAATCGAATATTATAATTAATACGAAGTATGATTTAAAGTCTTACACCGTTTATTCCAACATCAGATTATAACGGGATTTTTGTTTTTTTTGTTTTTCATATAAAAGATCAGAATAATAAAACAAACGAACGATGTACAAATGTCATGAGATATTGTATATATTTCACATTGGATTTGGTTTACACTCGCCTAGTTCGATTTGTCTTATCATATGTTTAATTTTTTCTTTCTTTAGTGGCACTTGCCTTACTGTTGTTATTTCGAAAGTAATAAATGGCATGATCAAAACATTGTTTTCTTCAGGAAATTTAGTTAATGATTCAACACAAAGATTTGATCGAGGATTAGAAACAGATTCTATGAAATGATTGTCATACTACAAAATGTAGTTGATGTGTGTTGATAACATCGAAAAATTGAATGATTGATTAGAAGAGAAATATAAATATATTGATCAAAATCTTTAGGTGATTCATTGTCCGGATCATATACGCGAGTGCTGACATAACGAAAATACGAATCTAGTTCAGCTAAATCAGTACGTAATCATGTACCTAAATCGGTGACAGCCGTGTAAGGTATAGCTAGTGGTGATAGATTATTTTCATCGATAGCATACAGTAGTAGATCTTTAACACAAGTTCGTGTTGAATCAACAGAAAAATCAATTTCTTCGAGCAATTTCTTCAATGATATTTTTATGATCCATCGTTTCATATGCTCATAATTTTCATATGAAATTTAAGAAGCATTACGGTATGAATCAAGTCATTTGATCTATTTCTCTAAACTGTTCCATCAGAGTTCATCTCTTCAGGAAATTTTTTTTTCATTGTTCAAAATTATTCGACTTTCTTGGTAGCACAGCAGTAGTCGGATGATACCTGAATGATCATAACGAACTGCTATATGTAAAAGTAATGTTTCCTTGATCGTCTATTGAAGTATTGATCGATGGAATAATTAAATCTTCTCGAAATGTAGTCCAATCATTATAACAATATACATTATACAGCAACTCTTTTGTTTATGCATCAAGCATTAGCAGTTGTGGTAATGAACTTTTTTTATTTTTACTTTTTTTGAAGAAAATATTCTTTTGTTCTTTCGTTCTTTTTATAACAGCTTCAAATAGCTGTTGTTGATTATATTCAGACTCTTTCCTTATCTTATCAATATTCTTTTTTTATTTGCTAAAGTTTGCATCAGTATGTTGTTACAGCAATTATTCATGGAATTATAACATGACTAGTCCACGATTGTTTTTCGATGTTAACGGAATAGAATTCTGAAAAATATTAATGTGTGCAGTTTCTGAAAAATTATCATTATTTTTCATGCAAAAAATAGATTGATATTAATAAATAGAGAAAAGCCAAAAAAAGTGAACTTCTGTACATCTAAAAGATATAGTTCGATTTCATAAAACAACATAGAATATTTTCAATGATGCCTTTGAATGCCAACAATTGAAAAGTATGTTCTTTTACAGAAATAAATCTGATATTGTGACGTCGTGAAAAATTCATCTCTAATCAGAAGTATTTTGGATAGTTGACAATGACAAAAAAAACTCGAATTCAACTAATTTTTAACTTATAATATGATTTTATCCCATAAGTCAAAGATCTAATAACATATTAAGGTATTATATTCAATATTTATGTGATTTCCACAAACTATTTCTTAATTTCATCACGTCGTCTGACAACAACTGACTTGAGTATCGTCATATTCTGATCGATTCGTTGAAATTGTTGAAGATCAGCTACACAAATAAATTGAAATCATCGTTATAGATATCTCCACTTTATTGAGACTGTTTAACGAGAGTTAGTTTTTGTGCAAGTTTAACAATATGAAGAGATAATGAAAAGTATACTCTTATAATGCTTTAACATGGACAAGAAACCTACTCAAGCAGGCCAATAAAAGCATACGACGGGTACGAGGAGCGGTCGAAAATTTGATACATATATATTTTGTTCGTTCTGTTTCAATTTCGATCCCCTCGACACCCATCGAATTTCGAGCACTCGGACACTGTGTCCTATCGATGACTCATTTTTGACTCGTCGTATATATTTCGACACCTCAGTACTCATCGAAGTTTCGAGTACTCCAAGAAAAAACCACCTATCGAAATAATACTACTGACTCCTCTAACACATTTCAATCACTCGACTAAAACAAATATATAGAAAGGATCATTTTGAGTGCTTCAAAAGAGTCAAACCGATCATAATAACAGTTTTGACAGAAGAGTCTATAATCTTGATCATGTAGAACTTCTTGAAAATCCCGTTTTAAAATATTCTTTATTTTTATTCAATAATTTTAGTAGAATTATTCAAGTTTGCTTCATAATTCACCTTTATTTCAGGATTTTCTGATTAAAATTTATCGTCCACCGATTGAAACTAAAACCAAAATTCGCCTGCGTTTTTGGCTAAGACATAGTAATAATGAATTTTCACGTTGTGAATTTAAAAAAAATTACTAAATATTGACCTCATGCTTCTCAGCACAAACTGGTTGATTATCACGTATTGCACATCATATTTATTCAATAAGTGATTTATACGAAATCTTAAATTAAAAAGAAGTTCTTGTATCACTTATAGAGATATAAAAAGTTTTTCTTTCTTGATGAAATTTTTTTCGTGATAAACAAATTTTGTTCGATAAAAAATATTATTTTTATTGTTCAAAAAATAATCTTTTTTTTGTGGATGAAAAATATTATTTCGCATGTTAAAAAAGAATTTTCTCTCTGGACAAAAAAATATTATTTTCAGTTTTCAATAAATAAAATCACAAGTAACAAAGCATGAAAAAGAATAAAAAGTACTATCTTCTTATGATTTAAAAAGGTCGTTTTGACACGAGAATAATAGTTCATATTTAGATCAACTGTTCGACGAAAGTGAATCGTAAGTATCCATGTTCAAATCTACTTCTCCGTATATATTCGATAGGTTTCAACGATTCGAAATTTATATACGATAAATTTGGACAACTCAAAATTGAGACATCTGTCGGACAAAAATTGTTTTTTTCGGTCAAATTCCGATCCATCGGAAATGACCATTCGAGTGGTTGAAAACTGCTAGTAAAAACAATCTATTGCTGAGCCCTCGATCCATCGGAAAATGGCAATCCGAGGGGTCGATTTGAACTTTCAATGCCCAACGGAAGCCAAAATCGACGCGTCGAAATATCTATCGGATGGCCGGTTGGGTAGTATTTCCAATCGTTGCACTGCAACATGCTACTGATTTATATTCAATGAACCAATTCGGTTAAATTTTCTTTTAAATCGAAATTCGTGAAAGCTGTATATATTCGATGAGGCATGTGTTTCAGACCTCTGCATTATTTATATCTTGAAAAAATCTTGCATTCATAAGGTAGGTCGTCACTCAGTATGATAGAGGACGAAAAATTCCTTTCAACATAATTCTTTTTTTCTTTTCTGTTCTACTGAAAAATAAAATCTCATTTGTGAACAACTATATCTTTTGCTATCTATGTAAATATACTACAACATACATCACAGAAAGCGTTTCTCTTTCTTGCAGGGAATAAAACATATTGAAGCGATAAAAAGCGAGATAAAAGTAACAAACAATTCATTTTCGAATCTTTTTAGTTATCAACAACATAAAAAGCACGTGCTTTGACTATTCCGTTTTTATTTTAAAGTAACTACACAAGGTTAATGATTTGCATTTGAAAAATGTATCGTTTTACTGATGTAGAATCAACTCCGAAACGACTTACTTCAGTCTATGGATACTTAGCACATGAACTGTTGCCTCTACAGAAAGCTCTCGAACCAATCTCGTCTCAAATCAATCAACTAGATCGTTTTAGTAAAATAGCTAAAAATGAATGTCACTTTCCTTCAGAACATGGACTTACTCGAGATGAATCAGCCGCTATTTTTCTCTATACAATGGAATGGGGTAAGAATAGTTTATACCAAGTAATGAATCGTGCTCTTCGTGCAGAAGATCGATCATCATTAAAACCATGGTTTGGCTATCTGAAATTATTTGATACAGCTGTACAAAAATTACCTATTGTTCGAAAGAATCTATGGCGTGGTGTTGCAACAGATATAGCCAAGAACTTTAAAAAAGGCGATGAGTTCACTTGGTGGACCATTAGTTCATGTTCAACTTCAGTTAATATGATCAAAGATTTTCTAGGATCCAGCTCAACATTATTCTTGATCGAAGCTGTGAATGGAAAAGATATTTCAAGGTATACGAATTACTCAAGTGAAAGTGAAGTTATTCTTTGTCCAGGTACTCGACTTCGTGTTATCAGTGATCCTCTTGATCAACCATACATGCATATAGTTCATTTACAAGAAGTTACTGATGAAACCGAAGACCAATTCACAACCCATTTCAATGCTATGGCAGTCACATCTTCCTCAAAAACTGAATCCATTCCTACGTCGATAAATGTCCAGTCTTCACACATTCAAATTGTTACTGATAAATCAGGGAACAGATATGAAACAACAATTCATATATTATACAGACTGAGCTGCTGTTGCATTGCTAGATACTCAAACAACACATCATTATAGAATAATGATGAGGGAGAGTTGAAAGAGGGAAAAAAGCACGGCAAAGGAACAATGAATTATGCGAACAATGATAAGTACTCAGGCGATTGGGTCGATGATGTAAGAACAGGTCAAGGTGTCTACGTTTATGCTGGTGGTAGTCATTACGAGGGACAATATAAAGATAACAAAAAACATGGCAAAGGTACATTTGTTTGGGGATCAGATACTAAATGTGCTGGCGACAAGTACACTGGCGATTGGGTCGATGGCGTAAGAACAGGTCAAGGTGTCTACGTTGATGGTAGTGGTAGTCGTTACGAGGGACAATATAAAGATAACAAGAAACATGGCAAAGGTACATTTGTTTGGGGACCAGACACTAAATATGCTGACGACAAGTACACTGGCGATTGGGTCGATGATGTAAGAACAGGTCAAGGTGTCTATGTTTATGTTGGTGGTAGTCATTACGAGGGACAATATAAATATAACAAGGAACATGGCAAAGGCACACTTGTTTGGGGACCAGATACTAAATGGGCTGGCGACAAGTACACTGGCGATTGGGTCGATGGCGTAAGAGCAGGTCAAGGTGTCTATGTTTATGCAAACGGTAATCGTTATGAGTTGAGATATTCATAAATCACTCGTCAGTCTGTCCTTATTTGCTTTACATTCAATTACTATTCTTTTTATGCTATAAAAGAACAGTTCTCGGGACAATATAAAGATAACAAGGAACATGGCAAAGGTACATTTGTTTGGGGACCAGATACTAAATGGGCTGGCGACAAGTACACTGGTGATTGGGTCGATGGCGTAAGAGCAGGTCAAGGTGTCTATGTTTATGCTAACGGTAATCGTTATGAGGGACAATTCAAAGATGGCAAATTACATGGTAGAGGCAAAATGAAGTATGCTAATGGCACAATCAAGGAAGGAATGTGGTCAAACAACACTTTTGTTGGCTGACCTAAGTATTTTGATTTTTATAGGATTTGTTTAACGGTTAATTTCTACGTTGAATACATTGATAAGTGTTTTTTCTGTTTTGTTTGTTTTTGTGATAAAATTGTTTATATTCGAAGAAGGATAATATTCTGTACATTTATTCAAGAATAGTTAGCAGCATTCATCCCTGTTCTCAGTTTATTAAAAGAAAATAAAAAATCAAATTTGTAATTGAGATTTTGAGACAATTTTAATTGACTTTTTCATCGAACATTAATTGATGTATTGAAAAGATGAATATTGATAGGAGCCCTAAAAAGGATTCACAGCAAAAGAAGAAATTCATCGTTGCCTGCGACTTGAAAATATCATTACATCATGTGAATCGTCTCTTTATGCATAGGATATTCCAACGTGATTCATTCTAAATTGTATTACATCTGAGCCATGCATATTGAATTTATAAGATTTTCTTTCAGATGTTATTCTATTGATCTAGAATTTTTGGCCAGATAAAAGTTTTGTCTTACCAATGATTGGACTTTTGCTAATACAATCAGAATAAAAACCAAACAATTGATACTAGGAATCTCATAAACAACTTCTAACTATATTGATTCGACTACGAATATTTTTCAAGGAAAGTTCTTCGAGACGATACTCCTTTCATAGAAATTAATTCTCCAGATAGTTGTTATTCACTTGCGCATGTATATAGAAACTAAGTTTTATAAAGGTTCGGTTAAAAAGTAAATATATGACACATTGTATTTACACTAAAACAAATATCATTGTCTTCAAAAATAGCAGGCTGTACGTTTCTCAAAAAAAATAACATGCCACTAATGATTGATTCCTACATAAAGAATCAGTATCAACTCATTTAGTGATATGCAATAATATTTCATTTGTGTCGTTTATTGAATGATGAAACTGAATTTTCTTTTATATCATCAGTTACCTGTCCTTCTGATGGTAAATAACTATGAAAATGATTCGTTAATAATCTGATTTCTCAACAAATACTTGGACAATAAACCAAGTGGAAAAATTGTATTAGTCAAACTATTACTGGCAAGATACGAACCGATTTTATTTCGAATTCTGTTTATTTGAGCTTATAGACTTAATGTTATAGGATAAAAACTAATTGAAAGTTCTGCAAATTGAAATAAAAACAGACATAATCATTAGTAAATTTATTCATGAAAATTCCTTGAGCTGTCAACTTTCTTAACTGTAATTTAGTACTACTACTCAACTATGAAGAAAAGATGGTATGAGTTTCGAGTAAATACCAGAAAATTATAGGTATATATGAATAAGAAGTCATCCATAGATCTAAGCACTTGGACTCAATTTATGTAGTATTTTGATTAGCGCAAACCAAGTTATAGATTAAGTTTTCCCTTCTTCTATAAAATGTCGAGAACGTTGCATGCTCCTTTCAAATTGTGAATATAGTTGAGATGTTTGTGAATCGATATGTGTTATCAACAACACATCTACTCAATACATTCTGTGATCATTGTAAATTTCTAAGGGATTTTGATGAATTTTTGTTGCTATATCGTTCAAAAATTAAAGATCAATGGACATTAGTGATGTAAGTAGCCTCGTCATCGCGACTGAACAACTTCGTTTATTCAACCTATCATAAGAGACCAAAGCATTGGACTAATTTTTTTTTGACAAGTCAATCGAGTAGATGATTAAGACAGAAATTCTGGAAATTGTGAAAGAAAATCAGTATTCTTGAATTCGATAAATACATTTGTACTTCATTCTGATTTAAAAGTTTTTTTTCGGTTTACCATCTTCAATTACTTTTTTAATGTGTATTCTTCTACATAAAACTATCATCAACCTTGATAAGGTAGAAAAATGTTTGTTATTTTACAAATCAAAACATGAACGTTCTGTCTGAAAAGTACAGTCATATATTTCTAATACTTGAAATGTTCAACGAAAAATATGTCGTTTTCTCACTTTTTAATTACTGTCTTGATAATCGAGTTTCAATACACTACGTTATGAACATATACATTTCAATCTTCGTTGTCTTTTATAAAGATTTTGCGAAGAATAAAAAATTTCACTGGGTTATTTATTATAGAAAACGACGCAATCCAATATCGTCTAACTTTATCCAATTTTTCTTATTTTGTTTTACGAATGATTCTAAATAATCATTTGTTTCTTTAGTATTAGAAACGATTATGTTGTTCTATTTATTGATTTTGAGACAAAGCATATATACTAAGATATTGTTTTATCCAAGTGAATGTTGATGGTTTACGTCTACACTACGAAAATATTTTAACAAACAGAATATAATAAAAATAAAATAATGAAGATCATTATTCTTCACTCATATTCTCAATATTTTGAGCATTATATTATATATAGCTTTTAGATAATTCCAAGGCTGTTTTTAACGATTGTCACTGGATAAAAATTTCAGTCATTTTCGTGATATAGAATCAAATGTCATATTTTCCATGACTTTAAGCTCCAAATCATTATCAAAAAACAAAATTAACTTTTGAACTAATAAATTTATCTTACTGGTTTATAAAATGTTTGATCATACGATGTAGCTTCCCAAACAACAATACCAAATGATCAAATATCAACTCGAAAATGAAATAAAAATGCATCGAGACCTTCTGATAGATATCGTATTGATGATAATCGACGATTCTGTTCAATCTTAAACATAAACCAAATAAGCATTGTTCTATCATAAAAACTAAATTTGATAGTATGTATTCTCTCCAAAAACACATGCTAAATCAAAATT